GGTTTCAACAAAGGTTTTTTTTTTTTTTTTTTTTTCTCCATTTCTGTCAGCGATGGAGTTCTGGTTCCTCGTTTGGTTGTCGCCTTTGGCTTACTTAGTTGACGATCCTTAATCTTTGGCAAAATTGTCGACTTAAATTGCACAGACACTATATGAACTGAGCTGGAGATGGCATCACTGAATTAACGATGGACTGACTTTAACTGAAAAACTTACTAGTTTACTGTTGTCCTGTTTTTAGAGCTGCTTTACGGCAGAGGTTAATTTTGATTGCATTATTGACACACTATTTTCCTGTTTTACACTGTAAAGCTGCTTTGACACAATCTGTATTGTATAAAGTGCTATATAAATAAAGGTGACTTGACTTGCGTTTAGATCCTGCACTCATCTTTATTTTGCAGCCAAGCTGTGACAGAAGAACTGACCTCAAAATGGATCTAGCAGCAAAGAAAATCAGTCTCCTCTAACTGGGGAAGCAGTTCCTAGAGAAGCACACACAGGGATTTCTGGGCCTTCACCATCTCGTCCCTTATGATGACAACTGACTGTGTGTGCTTTTCTGGACAAGTCTCAATGCAAAGACAAGATTGTGCTTGGCCGGAAACGAGCCTCTAGGGACTTTAATGGAGTATGTGGAGTGGGTAGTCCTCCGGAATAGTTCCCCATTTACCATCTCCAAGAGTGAGGAGCTTCCTCACTCTTGCTCCCTCGGTTCCACCCTATGGCTATGGCTGCTGTGGGCTTCCTCGTCCCTTCACCTCTGCCTTGGTCAGCCATCACTCTGACTTTGCCATGGACTTACAGGCCTTCGTCTGTGACCTGTTCCTCCACCCCTATGCCTCTGTCAGGTTCCTTCTTCTCTTCAGCTCTGCCCTGGTCTTCAGTAGCACTGCTTCCACCTCAGTCCTCTGGCGCCCTGGTTCCACCTCAGTCATTCATTGCTGCAGCTCTACCTTGGTCTCCAGGACCTTCAGTGTCCCCGGTATCTACAGCTTTTCGGCTCCGACTCAGTCTCCACCTTCCACACTGTCTAAGGTCCATCGTTCCCTGGTTCCACCTGGCAAGGCTCCACCATGGCTCCGCCCTCGGCTCTGCCATGGGCCTGCACACTGGTACTTCTGTGGGGGGCTCTTCCGACTGCATCTCCACCCTGGCTTTTCCTGCCTCTGTCTTCACCCAGCTTTCTCTCTGTCCAGCATCCTCTTCGCCATGGCTCTGGTTGTCCAGCATCCCAACTCTGCGTCCCCCACCTAAGCCACCTCCCTCTGCTGGACTTGATGTCACATGAATGTTCTGTTCTGTTTGGTTTAGTTTTAGTTTTTCTTGTTTGGCCTGTTCCGGAGTTCTTTTTGTTTAATAAACACTAATGTGCTGCATTCTGTCCTGTGATCCTGAGCCCGTCTTTATTTTGCAACCAAGCTGTGACTAATAACTCCTGTCTACAGTAACTGTCGTCTGTTTCAATAGTGTTTCATTTTTGTGTTGCATTTAGGTCTTTTCAGAGACAGATTTCATATTATGTTGAAGGTAAAACATCTTAACACTTTTGTTTCATTTCTCAAAATTGGTTCATCAGGATTAGCTGCAGTTCATCAGATCTTTCTCTACTAAAAGGAAGAAAGTAAATCAAGTTTCAACATATGCTCACAGACCTTCAATCAAATAATATTTTCAGCTGAACATGGACCTGCTTACGTTTGTTTTTGCGGCTGTTATTCTAGTTGTATCTGATGGTATGTATAATATTTTTCTCTTTATGCTAATTCTGGAGAAAAAAGCACAAAATGAATTGTCAAATTAATTATGTTCAATGTGGAAACACTAAACAAAATTTGTTTCATTTGTCAAATGTTGATTACTACATAATTTCTATAGTTTGTTTCATGTGTTAAAATGAAATATAAATATTAAGAGCAAATTTAACTGAATCTCCCTTTTATACATTAAGCATGTTTCTGATTTATTTAGCTTTTAGCACTTTAATTTATTTGAGACACGACAATGAGATTTATGTCCACAGCTTTTATTCATTTATTCTGTCATAGTTCTAATAGTCCTCTATAAGAGTACACCTGTGGACTCACATTTTACTGTGAAGCATTTTGTTTTTCTCAGGTTATATTTCCTGGTTGCCTGATCTGATCAGCTTTACAACTTTTTTGTTATTTTTTTATTTATTTAAAGCAGCTCTTTTGAACTCTCATGACCACAATTTGTTTAAAAATATCTGATATTAGAAATAGAATTAATTTGTTACAAGGATAAAATGGGAAAGAAACCTTTTGTAGGGATTTTTATTTACTTTTAAGAAGAACCCAAGGAACTACTATGCACACTTTTACAGTGAAAAAAAAAAATCATATGCATAAAATATGCATGGTTTACATAAGATTTTGTGCCATCTAGAGTAAAGAGGAAAAAAATAATACACTGTTAGGATTGGCTAGATACTTAATCATGTCAATAATGATAATTACCTCTATATGTTTCGATTTGCACTAGAACAAACTACAAACCAAGCATCATTTCTGACTCTGTTTTAGGGTTGATTGTGCACAGTCCCTCAGGTCCTCTGGTTGCTCCTCTGGGGTCTTCAGTGGTTTTGCCCTGTTATGTTGATGAACTCTTACTAATGGAGGATCTGGAGGTGGAATGGAGAAGAACAGACTCAGAGACTCTGGTTCATCTGTATCAAGATGGTGAGTCGAGCAGAGTCCCAGCAGCAGGATTATCATGATAGAGCTCATTTCTTTACTGATCAGATTCAACATGGAAACTTCTCCCTCCGTCTGGACAATCTGAGAGCTCAAGACAAAGGGGTTTACAGATGTAAGGTTCACAATCAGAAGGATTTCGGTGAGATTGTGGTTGAAGTAAAAGATGTTGGTAAGTAACAACCCAGTTACTTCTAGTAGAAATTCAATCTAGTATTTAATTAAAATATGTGATGCTCATATTTCATGTTTATTTTTGTTCTTTCAGACCATTTGCTAGTATCAGGATCGAGTCGTTCCATATCTGCGTCTGTGGGTGAGGACGTCACTCTGAACTGCTCTGTAGACTCTCACATCACACCTGAACACATTGAAGAGGTTTCATGGAAGAAAACAGATGAAGATAAAGATATTCTGGTTCTGCTGTACCAAAACAATCAGACTTTATCAGATTCATCAGATGAGCGATACAGAGTTGAGTTCTTCACTGCTAAAATCCCCAAAGGAAACTTCTCTCTCAGACTGAAGAGTGTCAGAACTGAGGATAAAGGAGTTTACACGTGTCAGGTGTTTGCTGGAGGACTTTCAGCCAATGCAACTGCAGTACTGGAGAGACTGGGTGAGTAACAGATAAATAAGTTGGCTGCCATGTTAATATTACATGACCAGCTAAATGCTACTCACT